GTGTCCTAGTGTTTTGTAGTTTGGTCTGGTGTGTTCTAATGTGATGTAATGTTGTAGTGTGGTCTAGTGTGTTGCAGAGTGGTCTGGTGTGTTGTAGTGTAGTCTGGTGTGTTGTAGTGTGATTTGGTGTGTTGTAGTGTGGTCTGGTGTGTTGTAGTGTGGTCTGGTGTGTTGCAGTGTGGTCTGGTGTGTTGTAGTGTGGTCTGGTGTGTTGAAGTGTGTTGTAGTGTGTTGTTGTGCGGTCTGCTGTGTTGTAGTGTTTCGTAGTATGGTGTGGTGTGTTGAAGTTAGTTGTAGTGAGGTCTGGTGTGTAGTAGTGTTGTCATGTGTTTTGAAGTGTAGTCTGGTGTGTTGTAGTGTTGTCATGTGTTTTGTAGTGTAGTCTGGTGTGTTGTAGTGTTGTCTGGTGTGTTGAAGTGTGTTCTGGTGTTTTGTAGTGTGTTGTAGTGAGGTTTTGGTGAATTGTGGTGTGGTCTGGTGTGTTGGTTTTTGTTCTGGTGTGTTGCAGTGTGGCCTGGTGTGTTGTAGTGTGACCTGGTGTGTTGTAGTGTGTTATAGTGTGTTCTGGTGTGTTGCAGTGTTGTCTGGTGTGTTGTAGTTTTTTCTGGTGTGTTGTATTGTGTTGTAATAAGGTCTGGTGGGTTGAAGTGTGTTGGTGTGTGGTATGGTATGTTGTAGTGTGCTACAGTGTGGTCTGGCGTGTGTTAGTGTGTTGTAGTGTGATCTGGTGTGAGTAGTGTGTTGTATTGTGGTCTTGTGTGTTGTAGTGTGTTATAGTTTGATCTGGTGTGATGTAGTGTGTTGTATTGTGCTCTTGTGTGTTGTAGTGTGCGCTGGTGTGTTGAAGTGCTGTCTGGTGTGTTATAGTGTTTTCTGGTGTGTTGTAGTGTGTTGTAATGGGGTCTGGTGAGTTGTAGTAAGGTCTGTTGTGTTGAAGTGTTGTCTGGTGTGTTATAGTGTTTTGTGGTATGTTGTAGTAAGTTCTGGTGTGTTGTAGTAAGGTCTGGTTTGTTGAAGAGTTCTCTGGTGTGTATAGTGTTTTCTGGAGTGTTGTAGTAAGGTCTGGTGTGTTGTAGTGTGTTGTAGTGTTGTCTGGTGTATTGTAGTGTATTGTAGTGTTGTCTGGTGCATTGTAGTGTATTGTAGTGTGGTCTGCTCTGTTGTAGTGTGATTCGGTATGTTGTAGTGTGTTGTAGTGTGATCTGGTATGTTGTAGTGTGGTCTAGTATGTTGTAGTGTGTTGTTGTGTGGTGTATTGTGTTGTAGTGTGGTCTGGTATGTTGTAGTGTGTTGTTGTGTGGTGTATTGTGTTGTAGTGTGGTCTGGTGTGTTGTAGAGTGTTGAAGTGTATTCTGGTGTGTTGTAGTGTTGTCTGGTGTGTTGTAGTGTGGTCTGGTGTGTTGTAGAGTTTTGAAGTGTAGTCTGGTGTGTTGTAGTGTGGTCTGGTGTGTTGTAGTGTAGGCTGGTGTGTTGTAGTGTGGTCTGGTGCGTTGTAGTGTGGTCTGATGTGTTGTAGTGTGGTCTATTGTGTTGTAGTGTGGTCTGGTGTGTTGTAGTGTGGTCTGGTGTGTTGTAGTGTGGTCTATTGTGTTGTAGTGTGGTCTGGTGTGTTCTAGAGTGTTGAAGTGTGGTCTGGCGTGTTGTAGTGTGTTCTGGTGTGCTTTAGAGTGTTGATGTGCGGTCTGGTGTGTTGTAGTGTAGTCTAGTGTTTTGTAGTGTGGTCTGGTGAGTTGTTGAGTATTGTAGTGTGTTTGTCTGGAGGGTTGTAGTGAGTTTTTGTGTGTTCTGCTGTGTTGTATTGTTGTCTTGTGTGTTGTAGCGTGTTTTGGTGTTTTGTAGTGTGTTGTAGTGAGGTCTGGTGTGTTGTAGTGTGTGTTGTAGTGTGCTCCGGTGTGTTGTTGTGTAGTTTGGTGTGTTGTATTGTAGTCTGGTATGTTGTAGTGTGTTGTAGTGTGTGTGTCGTAGTGTGCTCTAGTATGTTGTAGTGTGGGCAGGTGTGTGCTGTGTGGTCTGGGGAGTTGTAGTGTGGTCTGGTGTGTTGTAGTGTGGTCTGGTGTGTTGTAGTGTGGTCTGGTGTGTTGTAGTGTGGTCTGGTGTGTTGTAGTGTGGTCTGGTGTGTTGTAGTGTGGTCTGGTGTGTTGTAGTGTGGTCTGGTGTGTTGTAGTGTGGTCTGGTGTGTTGTAGTGTGGTCTGGTGCGTTGTAGTGTGGTCTGGTATGTTGTAGTGTGGTCTAGAGTGTTGTAGTGTGGTATGGTGTGTTGTAGTGTGGTCTCGTGTGTTGTAGTGTGGTCTGGTGTGTTGTAGTGTGGTCTGGTATGTTGTAGTGTGGTCTAGGGTGTTGTAGTGTGGTCTGGTGTGTTGTAGTGTGGTCTGGTGCGTTGTAGTGTGGTCTGGTGTGTTGTAGTGTGGTCTAGGGTGTTGTAGTGTGTCTGGGGTGTTGTAGTGTGGTCTGGTGTGTTGTAGTGTTGTCTGATGTGTTGTAGTGTAGTCTATTGTGTTGTGGTCTGGTCTGGTGTGTTGTAGTGTTGTCTGGTGTGTTGTAGTGTTGTCTGATGTGTTGTAGTGTAGTCTATTGTGTTGTGGTCTGGTGAGTTGTAGTGTTGTCTGGTGTGTTGTAGTGTTGTCTGGTGTGTTGTAGTGTTGTTTGGTGTGTTGTAGTGTTGTCTGATGTGTTGTAGTGTGTTGTAGTGTAGTCTATTGTGTTGTGGTCTGGTCTGGTGTGTTGTAGTGTTGTCTGGTGTGTTGTAGTGTTGTCTGATGTGTTGTAGTGTAGTCTATTGTGTTGTGGTCTGGTCTGGTGTGTTGTAGTGTTATCTGGTGTGTTGTAGTGTTGTCTGATGTGCTGTAGTGTGTTGTAGTGTAGTCTATTGTGTTGTGGTCTGGTCTGGTGTGTTGTAGTGTGGTCTGGTGTTTTGTCGTGTTGTCTGATGTGTTGTAGTGATGTCTGGTGTGTTGTAGTGTGGTCTGGTGTTTTAGTGTGGCCTAGTGTGTTGTAGTGTGTTATAGTGTTTTCTGGTGTGTTTCAGTGTGTTTGTAGTGTTGTCTGGTGTGTTGTAGTGGGGTGTAGTGTGGTCTGGTGTGTTGTAGTGTGTTATAGTGTGGTCTGGTGAGTTGTAGTGTGTTATAGTGTGGTCTGGTGTGTTGTAGTGTGTTATAGTGTGGTCTGGTGTGTTGTAGTGTGTTATAGTGTGGTCTGGTGAGTTGTAGTGTGTTATAGTGTGGTCTGGTGAGTTATAGTGTGTTATAGTGTGGTCTGGTGAGTTGTAGTGTGTTATAGTGTGGTCTGGTGTGTTGTTGTGTAGTCTGGTGTACCCTGGTGTATATGGACGGAACTGGCACTAGTATACCTACCTCTGAAACTACTTTTCACAAAATCGCTGGACCAAGGGGTAGTCCACCTAATTTGGAAATGTGCAAAAATCAGCCATATTTTCTAAAAGACAGAAAGAGCTCAGCAGAAAGTTAGCGGCCGGTCAGTTATACATCACACATGTGCAAGCTCACGGAGACAGTCCTCAGGGAGGAAATCATTCACCATCTTTATGTGAACAATCTTGTACACTCAACACAACATGGGTTTGTTAAGAACAGATCCTGCCTTACCAACCTGCTCACATTGTTGGAAACTGTCACCAGCTACTGGGACAAAGACCTTCTGCTGGATGTAGTGTACATGGAGTTTGCTGAAGCTTTTGATAAGGTGCCACATGGAAGACTGGCAAGTAAACTACAGCCACATGGCATAAATGGCAACATATTACAATGGCTAAAACAATGGTTGAAGGAAAGAAAACAACGGGTCACGCTAAATGGAAACTAATCTGACCACTTGGACCATCTTGTCATTTTCATCAATGACACAAATGAAAGTGTTACAAACCCCGTTATCTTGAGATGATTTCGGGGCTTTTTAATGTCCCCGCGGCCCGGTCCTCGACCAGGCCTCCACCCCTAGGAAGCAGCCCGTGACAGCTGACTAACACCCAGGTACCTATTTTACTGCTAGGTAGCAGGGGCATAGGGTGAAAGAAACTCTGCCCAATGTTTCTCGCCGGCGCCTGGGATCGAACCCAGGACCACAGGATCACAAGTCCAGCGTGCTGTCCGCTCGGCCGACCGGCTCCCGATCCGTCAGTAAATTTGCAGATGACACAAAGATTTATGGTGTAATGGGAAATAAAAATGATATTAAAGCCTTACAGAGAGATCTACACGAACTCCTCAAATGGTCAGAAGACTGGCAAATGCTTTTTAATATCGACTAATGCACGACCCTCCTGCATGTGGGACATAACGACCCACGCTACAACTTACACATTAATAACATTACATTGCAGCAGATTGATGAAAGAAAAGACCTTGGAGTCAAGAGCCACCACTCACTGAAGGTTAGACAGCAGGTTGGGGCAGCAGTTAATGAAGCTAACCAAACCTGAGTAATAATCAAGAGTTCCTTTGACTTTAAACCTCCCAAAATATACTTAATTTGGAATTAACTAATATTACTCGAAATAATAACTTTAAATATAAAGGCAAGTGCTTTCAGTCATGCGAAACTAAATACGTTTTCTTTAATCGAATAGATCAACATACCAAATGGTATAACTTAGTATATCAGCATGTATGACCTTTACAAACAGAATTCACCAGAATATATTTTAAAATCCACGCCTTACAGTGTATAATCTTTACCTTCCATATACAGTCTAGTTTCATCTAATCTTTTGTTGCTGTTTGGTTTCCTTTGTAATACTGTGAAAGACAAGCAAGGGTGTGTATGTATGTTCGGGAAAAATAATGATTACAAACAAAATGTTGATAATAATAATAATGTGCTCGCAATAAAAATATAAACCAACACAATATCTATACATACTATTCATTTTCAAATAATACAATTGATTTTCCCAGAATACAATTAATTTTCCCAGAATACTAAGAATGTTCATTCCAATGTGTTAGAAGAAGTGTGGTGTGGTGACGAAGAGCTTGTGTTACAGGAGTTCGGGTACTGCGCCCTCTGGACCTTCTTCTACCTGACGGCGGCCTCAGCGTGTGCCGCCGTGGGTGGCGTTGACGGAGCCGCTGCCGCCGCCGCCTTCTTCGGCTACGTGGCCATGATCCTCTACGGTATCGACGCTTTCTTCAAGTTCAAGGCCTGGCGGAGCGGCGAGCTGGCTCAGGGCGAGCGCCAAGTGCAGATGGCAGAGCCTGGCATGCCTTCCCCTGGGGCGTACTAATACCCTGACTCTTTCAGCAGCGCTGGTGCCCCCGGAGAGAATTAGGCTCGGGGTGTTGTTGTTGCCCCCGGGCAAGGTGGGGGGCACAGTGTTGCTGCTCCGAGGGCAGTGTTCCTTTTCAAGGGGTAGTGTCATTACCCGGCGGGAAATGTTGCTGCCTATGGGTAGTGTTTCTGCACATTGGTAATGTTGCTGCCCTGGGAGGTAGTGTTGCCATCCCGAGGGTTATTGTTGCTACCCCGGGGTAGTGTTATTGCTCTTCGGGAAGTGTTGCTCCCTGGGTAGAGTTGTCCCTTAGTAGAGTTGCTGGCTCAGGGTATTGGTGTCCCTCGATAATTTTGCTGCCGCGCTGATTGAATTGATGTTCCGGCGGTAGCTTTGCTGTTTCGGGGTAGTATTCTTACCCCTGGGAAATATTGCTGTCTTAGAGGGGTAGTGTAGCTGCCCTGGGGGTAGTGTAGCTGCCGTGGGGGTAGTGTAGCTGCCCTGGGGGTAGTGTAGCTGCCCTGGGGGTAGTGTAGCTGCCCCTGGGGAGTATTGTAGCTGCCCTGGAGGTAGTGTAGCTGCCCTGGGGGTAGTGTAGCTGCCCTGGGGGTAGTGTAGCTGCCCCTGGGGGGTATTGTAGCTGCCCTGGAGGTAGTGTAGCTGCCCTGGGGGTAGTGTAGCTGCCCTGGGGGTTGTGTAGCTGCCCTGGGGTAGTGTAGCTGCCCTGGGTGGTAGTGTAGCTACCCTGGGGGTAGTGTAGCTGCCCTGGGTGGTTGTGTAGCTACCCTGGGGGGTATTGTAGCTACCCTGGGGGTAGTGTAGCTACCTTGGGGGGTAGTGTAGCTGCCCTGGGGGTAGTGTAGCTACCCTGGGGGGTAATGTAGCTGCCCTGGGGGTAGTGTAGCTGCCCTGGGGGGTATTGTAGCTACCCTGGGGTAGTGTAGCTGCCCTGGGGGGTATTGTAGCTGCCCTGGGGGTAGTGTAACTACCCTTGGGGGTATTGTAGCTGCCCTGTCGGTAGTGTAGCTATCCTGGGGTAGTGTAGCTGCCCTGGGGGGTATTGTAGCTACCCTGGGGTAGTGTAGCTGCCCTGGGGGGTATTGTAGCTGCTCTGGGGGTAGTGTAACTGCCCTTGGGGGTATTGTAGCTGCCCTGTCGGTGGTGTAGCTATCCTGGGGTAGTGTAGCTGCCCTGGGGGTAGTGTAGCTGCCCTGGGGGTAGTGTAGCTGCCCTGGGGGTAGTGTAGCTGCCCTGGGGGTAGTTTAGCTGCCCTAGGGGGTAGTGTAGCTGCCCTGGGGGTAGTGTAGCTGCCCTAGGGGGTAGTGTAGCTGCCCTGGGGGTAGTGTAGGTGCCCTGGGTGGTAGTGTAGCTGCCCTGGGGGTAGTGTAGCTGCCCTGGGGGTAGTGTAGCTGCCCTGGGGGGAGTGTAGCTGCCCTGGGTGGTAGTGTAGCTGCCCTGGGGGTAGTGTAGCTGCCCTGGGGGGAGTGTAGCTGCCCTGGGTGGTAGTGTAGCTGCCCTGGGTGGTAGTGTAGCTGCCCTGGGGGTATTGTAGCTGCCCTGGGGGTAGTGTAGCTGCCCTGGGTGGTAGTGTAGCTGCCCTGGGGTAGTGTAGCTGCCCTGGGGGTAGTGTAGCTGCCCTGGGGGTAGTGTAGCTGCCCTGTGGGTAATATAGCTACCCTGGGGGTAATATAGCTGCTCTGGGGAGTAATATAGCTGCACTCGGGGGTAGTATAGCTGCCCTGTGGGTAGTGTATCTGCCCTGTGGGTAGTGTAGCTGCCCTGGGGGTAATATAGCTACTCTGGGGGTAATATAGCTACTCTGGGGAGTAATATAGCTGCACTCGGGGGTAGTATAGCTGCCCTGTGGGTAGTGTATCTGCCCTGTGGGTAGTGTAGCTGCCCTGGGGGTAATATAGCTACTCTGGGGGTAATATAGCTACTCTGGGGAGTAATATAGCTGCACTCGGGGGTAGTATAGCTGCCCTGTGGGTAGTGTATCTGCCCTGGGTGTAGTGTAGCTGCCCTGGGGGGGGGGGTATTAATAACAGTTGGTGTACACATAGGGGCCATCATTGGCTAGTGTTAGGGCAGTAGTGTCAACAGATCGTGAGAGTGTTAGCTAGTGTATGACTGGCTCAGGTGCTGTGTGGTTATTAACACACCTACACACCCACACACACTCACACACACACACACACACACCACACACACACACACACACACACACACACACACACACACACACACACACACACACACACACACACACACGCACACACACACACACACACACACACACACACACACACACACACACACACACACACACACACACACAGTCACGCTCACACACACACACACACACACACACACACACACACACACACACACACACACACACACACACACACACACACACACACACACACACACACACACACACACACACACACACACACACACACACACACACACACACACACACACACACACACACACACACACACACACACACACACACACACACACACACACACACACACACACACACACACACACACACACACACACACACACACACACACACACACACACACACCACACACACACACACAACACACACACACACACCACACGCACACACACACACACACACACACACACACACACACACACACACACACACACACACACACCACACACACACCACACACACACACACACACACACACACACACACACACACACACACACACACACACACACACCACACACCACACACACACACACACACACACACACACACACACACACACACACACACACACACACACAGTTCCCCCCAGTTCCCCCCAGACCCCTGGTGAAAGGGGGAACTCTGACACCCGAGTTTCCAAGAAGAGTCTCAAGGTTTGGTACACCAATGCTGATGGGGTAGCCAATAAAGCAGAAGAGATAAAAGAAAGAGTTAGTGAGGCAGACCCAGACATAGTGGCAATAGTGGAAACTAAGATAAATGGCATGATCTCGGATGCAATCTTTCCAGAGGGGTACCAGGTGATAAGAAAAGAAAGGACACAGAGACAGGGAGGAGGAGTGGCACTACTAATAAAGCGGAAATGGAAGTTTGATGAGCTGGAAAATCCGGGTACCAATGAAAGCACAAGCTTCATACATGGAACTCTGACAGTGGATGGGAAGAAGATTGTAATCTTGATACTCTACAATCCCCCACCAAACAGTAGAAGGCCCAGGCAGGAGTACGAGGACAGCAACAAGACATGTATGGATGAACTGCAGAGGGCAGCAACTTTAGCGCATAGAATGAGAGCGAAGCTGCTGGTCATGGGGGACCTAAATCACGGAGAGATAGATTGGGAAACGAGGAATCCCCATGGCGGGGAGGAGACCTGGGGAGCGAAGCTGGTAGACGTTATTGACAGGAATTTCCTAACACAGCATGTGAAAGAAGATACTAGGGAAAGAGGAGGGGATACGCCCAGCCTATTAGATCTCATTATCACTCAGAATGTAGAAGACATCGAGCAGTTGGAACATGAAATACCACTAGGAGCTAGTGACCATTGTGTCCTAGCCTTTGACTACATGATGGAGCTTAAAATTGTGACGAAAGGACAAGAGGTCCGGGAAAGGAGACTTGATTACAGAAAAGGGGACTACAGAAGGATAAGGGACTACCTGGGAGAAGTGCAGTGGGAGGAAGAACTTAGAGGAAAAACAGTGCAAGGTATGATGAACCAAGTCATATTGAAATGCAAGGAGGCTGAAGATAGATTTATTCCAACAATAAAGGAAAAAAGCAGGAGGGAATATAATAACCCATGGTTTAATAGACAGTGTCAGGAAGCAAAGGTGAGAAGCAGGAGGGAGTGGAGGAAGTACAGAAGACAAAGGACAGAGGACAACAGGATTAGATGTAACAGAGCTAGGAATGATTACATTAACATAAGACGAGTGTCGGAAAGAAATTATGAGAACGATATTGCAGTCAAAGCGAAAAAGCAACCAAAATTACTCCATAGCCATATAAGAAGGAAGATGTCGGTAAATGACCAAGTGACAAGACTGAGGAAAACAGAAGGGGCATATACAGAAAGCGACAAGGAAATCTGCGAGGTACTGAATGCAAAATTCCATGGAGTGTTCACTACCGAGCCTGAGCAGCTCCCATTGTTAGAAGAGATTACCCAAGATGAAAGACTATCAGATATAGAGGTGACAGCAGAGGATGTAATGAAACAGTTGACAACACTGGATGCAAATAAAGCTGTTGGACCAGACAAAGTATCACCGTGGATACTTAAAGAGGCAGCGCAGGCTCTCAGCGTGCCTCTGGCAATGATCTTCAATGAGTCACTTATGTCGGGAGAATTGCCCAGTTGCTGGAAGAAGGCAAATGTCGTACCGATTTTCAAGAAGGGGGATAGGGAGGAGGCACTTAACTACAGACCCGTATCACTGACAAGCATCCCCTGCAAAATACTTGAAAGAATAATTAGGCTAAGACTTGTTGAGCACCTGGAGAGCATTGGGTTTGTAAACAAGCACCAACATGGGTTCTGGACAGGGAAATCATGCCTAACAAACCTTTTAGAATTCTATGATAAAGTAACAAGGATAAGGCAGGACAGAGAAGGCTGGGCAGACTGCATATTTCTTGACTGCCAAAAGGCCTTTGATACGGTACCGCACATGAGACTGCTATACAAACTTGAGAGGCAGGCAGGAGTAAGCGGAAAGGCCCTAGTATGGGTGAAGAACTACCTAACAGGAAGGAGCCAGAGGGTAATGGTAAGGGGCGAAAAGTCGGACTGGCGAACAGTAACAAGTGGAGTACCTCAAGGATCGGTGCTGGGACCAATCCTCTTTCTAATTTACGTAAATGATATGTTTACAGGAGTGGAGTCATACATGTCAATGTTTGCAGATGACGCAAAATTAATGAGAAGAGTTGTGACAGACGAGGATTGTAGGATCCTCCAAGAGGACTTAAACAGGCTGCAGAGATGGTCAGAGAAATGGCTACTGGAGTTTAACACCAGTAAATGTAAAGTTATGGAAATGGGATCAGGTGACAGGAGACCAAAGGGACAGTACACAATGAAGGGGAACAGCCTACCTGTAACGATTCGAGAAAGAGACCTGGGAGTGGATGTGACACCTAATCTAACTCCTGAGGCACATATAAATAGGATAACGACAGCAGCGTACTCTACACTGGCGAAAATTAGAACTTCATTCAGAAACCTAAATGAGGAAGCTTTTAGGGCGCTTTACACTGCCTACGTGAGACCCGTCTTAGAGTATGCCGCGCCATCATGGAGCCCCCACCTGAAGAAACACATAAAGAAACTGGAGAAGGTTCAGAGGTTTGCGACGAGGCTTGTCCCAGAGCTACGAGGGATGGGATATGAAGAGCGGCTGAAGGAACTGAACCTAACGACACTAGAGAAAAGAAGGGAGAGAGGAGATATGATAGGGACATATAAAATACTCAGGGGAATTGACAAAGTGGAAATAGATGAAATGTTCACACGTAATAATAACAGAACGAGGGGACATGGGTGGAAACTGGAAACTCAGATGAGTCACAGAGATGTTAGGAAGTTTTCTTTTAGCGTGAGAGTAGTAGAAAAATGGAATGCACTTGGGGAACAGGTTGTGGAAGCAAATACTATTCATACTTTTAAAACTAGGTATGATAGGGAAATGGGACAGGAGTCATTGCTGTAAACAACCGATAGCTAGAAAGGCGGGATCCAAGAGTCAATGCTCGATCCTGCAAGCACATATAGGTGAGTACATATAGGTGAGTACACACCACACACACACACACACACACACACACACACACACACACACACACACACACACACACACACACACACACACACACACACACACACACACACACACACACACACACACACACACACACACACACACACACACACACACACACACACACACACACACACACACACACACACACACCACACACACACACACACACGCACACACACACACACACGCAGCACACACACACACACACACACACCTGGGTGTGTGACCTCTTCCGCTGTACCAATTCGTCTGTTCGCTTCGCAGATAATATTAACAAAATTACATTATTGTATGGTAATGTTATTCTTGTTCCTGTAATTTATCGTTGGTTATGATCCTAAGGTAAAAGAAATTATATTGATAGTTAATGGGCATAAACTTTCATATTCAAAATTATCAATGTCACATTGTTCCCATTTGCAAATGCCCTTGATTTCATTGTTTTACTTTTGTAAATAAAATGTTTTACACAGATGTTTGATGTTAACTATACAAATATTTAGGAAATGTACCATTAATCCATACTCATCTGTTGTTGACTCAGCCGTCAGCACCTATGGCCGGGCCAACACTACCTTAAAACTATAAGAATCAGGTGAAACAAACAATTAAGGAAGTACGTACTGCAGTTTGAGATTATTCTGTACATAACCCGTAAATAGTCTGTTATTGACATTGTTGTTGTGAGTGGCGTGACCCCCAGGGGACGGGCCTGTGTGCGCGCGTCTGCGGCCTCACCGCGCGTGGTGGTGGTCGTCGTGCGCTCTGCGCTCTTCACCCTTTACCTGGGTCGTCTTGGTGTGTCTTAAACCAAGTTTCATTTCTTGTCTCTTGGAACTAGTCCATTTCCGTGTTCTTTATCTATGTACAGTATCCTGAAATTGATCAGTTGCCATGTTTATGACTCTGATCTTATCTGGAGTTGCCATTGATGGTCTGCTGACCTCTGGTGATGCCTTCAGTGGTCTGCTGACCTCTGGTGATGCCTTCAGTGGTCCGCTGACCTCTGGTGATGCCTTCAGTGGTCCGCTGACCTCTGGTGATGCCTTCAGTGGTCTGCTGACCTCTGGTGATGCCTTCAGTGGTCTGCTGACCTCTGGTGATGCCTTCAGTGGTCTGCTGACCTCTGGTGATGCCTTCAGTGGTCTGCTGACCTCTGGTGATGCCTTCAGTGGTCCGCTGACGTCTGGTGATGCCTTCAGTGGTCTGCTGACCTCTGGTGATGCCTTCAGTGGTCTGCTGACCTCTGGTGATGCCTTCAGTGGTCTGCTGACCCCTGGTGATGCCTTCAGTGGTCTGCTGACCTCTGGTGATGCCTTCAGTGGTCTGCTGACCTCTGGTGATGCCTTCAGTGGTCCGCCTCGGTGCTGCTGGAAGTTCGTCCCTTGTTACTGTCTTT